AATAATTATGAATATTTAAGAATATTTCATTATGAAAATTGCTTTTTATTTCATACTCATATTTCTAAAACATTTTCTTCATTATTGAAATAAACCTTGTAATGTTAACCATATTTTGAGAAATACTTCAAAAGAAATGACTTGCATTATTAATATCAGCAATGCTTTTTAATTGTTTAAAATTTTTTCAATACTTAAAAAAGGGTTCACACGCTTTAATAAGGAATATTTAAAAAAATTTAAAGTCAACTCTTACTTAGGTCAATAAAGAAAATTTTTATTTTAGTTTTGTTAAATAATTAAAAAATTTTCTCCCACATAAAACTAAAATTAATTAATTAAATTTAGTGAACGAATTAATATTTGAAAAAACTTCATAAAAATCAAGTGTCATTCACTACAAGTTTAAAAAAAATTTCTTTGAACTTGAGTGGAAAAAGTATTTTATTAACGAATTGAAAATTTGAACAAGATATAGGGAGAATGTCAACTAATAGTAGGAATTGAAAAAAATAGGACCACTAGCAAAATTACACAGTTTTACCCTATAAGTGCTTAAACACATTTTCTGATAAAGAAGCAATGTTTTCAAAATGTAAATTTTTTTTTCAGTTTCACGACACTTAGTTTTTTTATGTCAGAAAATCGTCAAATTTTTGATTGAAAATTAATCATATTTTATGATTAAGCAGCGATGTAGGTAATATATACATGTAATGATCAAAAAACTGTCGAAATTTCCACTGTTATCAAAATCAAGGCTCTCTCAATTCTGCTCTCGTTTGGACAACAATGCATCGTTGTTCTGCATTAAAATTGCTGTTAGCATTGTAATTCTGCAGTAAAATATTCAATTTGGTGGTCATTGAAATTTGAATTGAAGCTACATTTCCGTGGATTCAATTTAGAAATAGATTCTGCTTGTAGTGGTCAAAAAATGAATGAAACATACTTTGTGACCAGATAAATAACTCAAGTAGACATTTGAGTGCTATAGCTATATATCAACCAAGAAAGGGAATATTCGCAATATCCTACTTTAATTTTTACTACATTCATGTTAATTAGCTTTCTCGTATGGAAAACGAATACAAATTCATAAAAATGCATTGAAAATTGAGAGTAAATGAAGAATATAAAGAAGAGGGCTTTTTTGAGAAACCATCATGATTTTTATGCAAATTAACGTATAATTTTGAAAATAATTATACTAGTATAATTATAATAGTAATACTTCTTATACTAATTTGATTAACTGTCCTTAGGGGACCCGAGCGTGCCTCAGGATCGACTCCATTCCTCACGGTTCAAAGTTATAAATTTCTTAATTTTTAACTTTTTTATATCCTCTTCATCTTTTCCTTTAGCTAGAGCAGCCAGGATTTGTGTCATATGACTTTCTCACAAGTCTGTTATACTTTATTGCAAGCTAAGAAAAAAACCATTATCTTCACGTAGCGGGCCTGTTTGCATCTAAGTGCACGCAAAATGGATGCCAAGCTCCCAGCGCCAACGTATATCAATGTCGCCAACTCTTGAAACGACGTTGTCTCTCTTTTTTTGCGTGCTTTCTTACAATAATTAATTGATAAGTAATAAGAATTAATAAAAATGTTATCAAAAAAACGTATTAAATATGCGCCTTTTTGTTCACATTTAAAGAAACTGATGAAAGAATAATGAATATTGTTTCTTGCAGACGATTTTCTTCTACAGCGAAACAAAAGGAAAAATTATTTTTCTCGCATTTGATTTGTTAAGAGCATGTCAATGGAGACGCGCAATTTTTAGTGGTCCAATCAAATCCAATGCTCTTGTAACGTCATATAGTTATTTCTTTTTAAAAACGAATGTTTTCCATGTTTACTGAAATATGTCGTTAAGTCTGGGATTCCAGTAAGACTACGAAACTATAACCTTTTTTTTAAAAAATTATTCTATGATATATATCGTGAAAGATAGCACGATTTAAATTTCTGTCTGGCGTGTTTAACTTTTAAAAGCTTTTATATTGTTTTCGAAGCACATATCTATAATTTGATAGCTAAATAAAACGGAATTATATGCAGTCGCGGATGAATACTTAAATCCTATTCCACAATGATCTTTTCTTAATTTTTCAACGGAGTATTAAGATCGTCCGCTTAATGCGACCCAACCAAGTTCAGTGTTCTTATCCCTTTGGCACAATTGGGATACTGGTGTCCCATTTTTTTTCTGACTCTCTAATTACAAGAAAATATATATTTTGGTATTTTTTAATTATCAAAAAGAGTGTAATAGTTACTGTTAGAATATCGAATTTAGATTTGCTCTAAAATATAAAATACAAAAAATCAGTCTGAAACTTTTTTCTTTCATTCATATTCCAAAATGTATCAATAGTTGATTTTGTAAATTTTAACAATTTCAATGATGAATTATTGTTTTTCTAACATCTGAATAACTGCAAATAAGTGCTAATTCGAAAAAAATATTGCTTGGTAGGGAGCCGCGTTTGAAAAATTTTACCTTTAACTCAAAAAAAACATACTGGTGTATATTGTATTTTGTAACAATAAATTATTGAAAGCATAAATATAATTTTTTTCACTTATTTTGATCTAAATTAATACAAAATAGTGTAAAAAGTATGAAAAATATATTGAATAAAAAATCTGTGTCGAAAGGTTAACAATGATTAAATCAATGCCTTTATACTTTTTCAAAATTTCTAAATTGTTTTTTTATTCTCAATATTAAACTATCATAGATAGGACCAAATTTTTTCTTAATACTTCTTCCATATTAACAAACACTCTTGAACTTTTCTCACGGAAGTTCGGTATTTACTTCGACTAGTAAGCACAGTTTTGAGAAAAACCTTATATCATTTAGTATTTTTCTTTTAAGTGATATTAAAGTAAATTTTTAAAAGATTAAACAAGTTTTGGATGGAAAAATATGCTTTATTTAACCTGTTCAACGCAGTTATCACTATTTTCAATAATTATTTATTGCAACATCGTATTAAAAAATCTTGGATTTATAAATTTTTTGAGGAAAAATATAATTTTTTTCGACTTTTAAACAAAAGCTTGTGCAAATTCGATTAGTAAGAACCCATGCCTGCTAAAAATATGTATATATAGAACCATGTGTTCAATAAATTAATTTATAATTTTTGTTAATTTAAATATAAAGCGAACGAAAAATGTTGAATAGTCTTTTATTATTAATGGGATCATTTGCAAATAAATTACGATCTAACGATTTGGGTGGTGACTTATTACTCAAATATTAAAAAACTTGATGGACTATGAAGAAAATTTATAAAAATTTTGCTTGGTGTCAATAATGCAATTAATCATTTCAAATTTATAAACATTCTTCCGATTCGTCTCTTTTTTCTTCAATAAAATATGTGTGGATTTATGTATGAACCCAAACGAGTGTAAGGGACATTATGAACCCACGATGACCTACCAAAACATACCAATAATACCCCAAAAAAATGCATCATGCAAGAACTTCAGTTATTTAGCTCCTGAATTCTTCGATAATATTCCCATCGATTTGCAAGACGTCCCTCACAAAGGCTCAAATGGAAGTTAAAAGTATTATAATTTACGATTAGCAATTTTGAGAATCTCTTTCAACTCTCTGTAAGTCTTACAAAATAAAGCGACTGTAAATTGTTTACCTATTTTTAACCTTGTTAGAAGGTTGTGTGCATTATATTTTTCGCTATTAAGTTTTATGTATTTTATTTTATAATCGTCGTTGAACAGCCGATCCAATTTTGAGTTTACGTCTACCAATGTTCAATTCCATAGACTTGTAATTTTGAACCCAATCCAGAGGACAAGGGAACTCCTCGATCAAGTTTTGGGGGAATTTACCTTCGTGGAGTACTTTTTAATGAAACTTACCCGCATTTGCGTTAAATTGAAAGGAAAATCACGGAAACATCCCACGATTAGGCAGACCGCAAGGGGATTCTAACCCATGATCCATCTATCACTGAGAATATCTTACGTTTGCATTGAGATTGGTTCGAGCCGGGTGCGGATTTCGTATCGACTAGCCATCGCTGGGATTCGAACCCGCTCATCTCGTTGGGAGGCGAATGCTTTATCCCCTGAGCCATCGTGGCTCTAGTTTTATGTATTATCGTTCTTTGCGCAATTATAATATAAAAAGCTTTTATGGTTTGCCATAAGGGTCATGTGATCCCAGGTAATCGAGATATTTCTCTCTTGTTTTTTCCTTTTCTTGTATATAAATAAAAAGTAAAATATAAAAAGTAAAATATAAAATAATTGAATATTTTAAAAAAAATTGTCAGCGAACAATAGGGGGGTCCGGATTCAAACTGTCAGAATCACTAATTGATTTAGTTAAAAAAGTTATTTAGTGCATTTGTAAGACGCAAAAGACAGAGAGACAGTTTAAAAAAACATATTCATTTATTAAGCTGCATTTAAAATTTATCTGCAACAAATTGTAACCTTTTCAAGCAAAACCTAATGTCTCGTTTTGCTCCTAAAAAAATTTAAAAAAACTACTGGAAGTCTTAAGGTCTTCCTCTGACGTCATAGCTTTGATGTGACTGTTTCTTTTTCCGACGTTCCGGGTTTGCTTGTATATACTCGGAATACTGAGTTGTTCTAAATTTAATTTTTGTATCGTGTTTTTGCGAAAAAATGTGTTTTTCATATTTTTAAGCATCAGATATGAATAAAAGTACTTAGGGAAATATCCTATATTGATATGCAATTACCTGAACGTTGAGATACGGATTTATGCCATTTAGTTCACACCAGCAGAAATTCTTCTACCGGAAGTTGAAACAATCTCTACAAATACTGTCCCTTACCGTGGAAAACATGAAACACGGTCTTGAATAAAGTGAATTAGTAATGCAGATGTTCTTGTTTTCTTTATAAATTTGTTTTTTTTTTCAGCCTCGTTAATATATTCACTTTGTATTGATTTTAAAAACTTTTTAATATTTTCAGCTGATGAAATGAAGGCTGAATATAGGGGTGCTTTAGTGAGGGGCTTGCCTTTTCCCCTTCTCACAGTTGCCGAGTACTTCACCCAAGAACTGGAAGGTTTTTGCTGGGGAAGAAGATACAGACTCGCCGGCTATTATTCCTGCATTCTTCTGTGGTGAGTGTTGAAATTTGTATTGTCATTTGGATACAGCATCACATAGCTTATCTGAAAATGAACTAGGGTTGATCCGTTAAAGTGCACAATCAAAAAGCTAGTATTGTGCGCATTAATGGTTTCTGAGTCAAACATTTGTTTCCTTCATTCTATCAACTGATTTTTTGATGGTATCGACTTGATTCTTCAGATACCGAATTTAGATTCTTTATATACCGAGTTTAGATTCCTTAGATACCGGGTTTAGATTCTTTATATACCGAATTTAGATTCTTTATATACCGAATTTAGATTCTTTAGATACGGGGTTTAGATTCTTTAGATACTGAATTTAGATTTAGATTCTTTAGATACCGGATTTAGATTCGTTAGATCTCGAATTTAGAATTTTTAGGTACCGAATTCAGATTTAGATTCTATAGATACCGGATTTAGATGCTTTAGATACCGGATTTAGATGCTTTAGATACCGGATTTAGATGCTTTAGATACAAAATTCAGATTTAGATTCTTCAGATACCGGATTTAGATGCTTTATATACCGGATTTAGATTCTTTGGATACAAAATTTAGAATTAGATTCTTTAGATACCGGATTTAGATTCTTTAGATACCGAATTTAGATTTCTTTTAGATACCAAATTTAGATTTTTTAGATACCGAATTCAGATTTAGACTCTATAGATACCGGATTTAGATGCTTTATTTACCGGATTTAGATTCTTTAGATACAAAATTTAGATTCGTTAGATACCGAATTTAGATTTAGATTCTTTAGATACCGAATTTAGGCTTAGATTCTTTAGATACTGAATTTAGATTTAGATTCTTTAGATACAAAATTTAGATTTGGATTCTATAAATAACGAATGGTATTGTGTTGATTTCTTTGAGTGTAATGATATTTTAAGTTGTTTGATTCTTTGTGTTGTAGTTTTTAAAGTGATTGATGACTTATTCCACTAAAGTGTTGACTGTTTGATTGCAGTCACTTGACTTTTTAGATAGCTAAAAATAAATAAACAACAATATGTTATTTTAAGCGTACAGAAACGTTGCTGTTGTTTCAGAAGAGACCTTATTATCACTTTAACGAGTGTCTAGAAGGAATTGTGTAGATCATCTGGGTGTTTTTCAGATTACTGAGAAAAATTTTTATGCAATTTAACTATTCACCCTAGTTAATCTGCGTATTAGCTTGATAATCTGTTAAAAAAACTGATATCTACATTTTACCGGTTAACAGTTATTTCAAAATATATATTAGTGGTTTTTCAGTCAGAAAAAGGAAATTTTTTTAACGAATTCAATAGAAAGGAAGTGTTATATTTTGTAATGTTAATTTTTAAATTTTACTCGTTATTTGCCAAATCATTGTCAGACTTGAACTTTTAGATTTAAATAACACTAATAAACTGGGAAAACGTACGAAGTGGCCGTTTTATGAAAACCACGCAGTTTAATGCAAATGAAATATTTCCTAACAGTATCGTGGCTTGAGGACTCTTACAAGATACCTATTTTTCGTGTGCATGGTAATTTGAATTAGACACTATACCTGAACATCGTTGCTAACCTAGTACATTCTGTAATACTGATGATTTATCCCCAGTTGCAAGATGTACTGGCTGGTGTCGTGTCCATAGAGTTTATATGGAACCGTAAAAGGTTCCCACAGGTTTGGCTATCTTTAATCAGTTGCCCGCATAAAGGTCTTCGTAATGATAGTCGCTAATCTGCAGCACTTTTTTCAGGATGAAAAGACAAGAAAAATATATTTAGAGTTCACTAACCATGAAAAAATAGTTGCCATTAGCTTAAAAAGGGCAAGGGGTACTTTAAACTGGATATTACGTAAATTGTATATTTGAATTGTCAAATTTTGAACCATGATTGATGGGGACTTCATTCCCCAAGCAGTATATTAGATAACATTAGAAAACCAGAGAAATCTAACGTTATTTTGCATAACTTTCGAAAATTAGAACGATACAAAATGTCGCCGTTTTCTCATCATTATGTAACGTTAGATTCTATACAAACTAATATTATCAAGTTTTCGCCATAATATTATTTCATAAGTATAATATGGGATTATACATAATTACGGATGTTATTTTGAACGGAATTATTTATCTAAAAACGGGATTATATATAGTAAAAATTATGTATATTATGAAATTTTCTGTTACTTTCTTGCGTCGTTTTTAATTTTTGGAATTAGTAAGTAGTAGAATAGGATGAAAGTAGAATAATTTGGTGATATTATTGTATTTAATTTTCTGTGTTCTTGTGAAGCGATAAAACATGGTACAATAGTTTTATAATGTTATCCCACGAATTATTTCCTAAGCCATACAGAAATACGAAATAAAATTATATAACCGAATTCTGCTACCATACATTTTATTTTCCTCCTTCTTATTCCAAACTATATTTTGTGTCCAATTGTTTTTTTTTTTATAAATATTTCAAATTTAATTAAAAAATAATGTTTGAATAGCTAAACTTTTATTGATATTTTTTTCTTTTCTTAATACAATGAGTTTTCAGATAAATTTTGTATCATTAATAATTTTCAAGCGTTTAATTTTAATAGCATTCCTAATTTTTTTTTTCAGAAATGACCCAATTGTATCGAAATTTTAATTGAATTTGTTAGTTTATAAGAGTCATTACTCTAGGCAATTATAATTTCACGATTATCATACATTTATATTCTGAAATTATATAATAAAAAACACACTATATAATTATAAAGTTAAACTTACATTTGAATTGAGTGGAAATTTTAACTTGAAAAAAATGTTTTATTCCACTTTAAAATACAACTACATGTAATTTTTTAGCTTTGTTTTAAGATTTAAACAAGATTAAAAAAAGAAATTATTGTTTAACTTTTCGAACTCTTATTTTTTTTAATAATTGGGAAAATGAAGAGAATTATTTAAAAATATTCAATATACTTACTTTTATACATTTTTTTACTGAAATTAAATGGAAAAATACTTATGTAACTTTATTCTTTTAGTATCTGAAATTTTACTTAACAAAATCCGAAAGTACCCTTAGAAATATTTTTAGGGAGTAAAACTAGGAAAACAATTAATGTTACAAAAATTGCCAATAATTTCTTATAACGTGAAATCAATTTTATGTGGCCACAACAGAAATTTTCTTCGCTAATAAGAGATTATGCATTACGAACGTATTAAAAACAAAATAGGAGTTATTTGTAAACGCCTTAAACGTGACTTTTTAAAAAAAAAGAAAATGAAATTAGGTTTCTGGTATCCATTAGTTAACCCATAGAAAAAGCTACTTTATGCTTTTGCACAACATGTCTTCACAATGAATATACCGGACCTTTCAAATGCAAATTTAAGCAAAATTCTTTTTTTTTATAGATTAGAATTTTTTTTATTATAATGTAAATGTCCTTAATTGAAATATTATTGGGTGTACAAATAAGTTCCTCCGTTCGTCACAAGAGGGCACTGCAAAAAGGTTATGTAGAAATTGATTGGTGTTAAACGTCTTATTGTGAGGTTGCTCATCTGGTAACAACATAACTATAAAGTATTAGTGATTCCGTATTAGCATTACGTTATTGTTTTCTTGCAAAAATGTCAAGTTTTGTGCCAAATAAACATCGTTTTCGGGAACTTAACATTTACTTCTTTAATATGAAGAAATCTGCAGCTGAGGCGCATCGATTGCTTGGAGAAGCGTACGGTGAGGCTGCTTTAAGTGAGAGAAGTTGTCGTGAGTGTCAGAAGTTTAAAAACCGTGAGTTAGACGCAAAAGACTATGAACGCATTGAAAGGCCCAAATTGTACGAAGACAAGGAATTGGAAAAATTACTTGAAGAAGATTCGTCTCAAATGCAAAAAGAACTTGCTCTTACATTACAAGTGATTCAGCAAGCAATCTCATATAATTTAAAATCGTTGAGAATGATCCAAAAACAAGGAAGTAGGGTTCCAATTCGAACTGAAGTTCAGAGACATTGAACGTCGATTTTGCATGAAAATTGGTTGGTTAGTGTCGTATCCTCCATTGAATCATATCTCATGGTGTGCTTGAACATTCTTTGCTATCTCTATGGCTTTAAATGAATATAAATCTTCTTTTGTAGGGTAGTTTAAGGGGTGAAGTCCTACAGCGACTGCAGGTCAGTTAAAAACATGATATGGTGTGAGTTCCACATTAAGACAGTTGCCACAGTTTTGATATTTTCTAGTTCCATCTGCAGAGATTTTCATGTTTTTATGATGTGTTGTTCTTAGTCTGATGAGAGTGGTGACTGTCTTCCTGTCGATGTCAAGATTAGTTATTTGATCGTGGGCCTTGATTTTTAAGGTGGTGAATAGTCTTGACTTTGCAAAAGCATTTGCATCTGCCAGCGTAGTTGGGATTGTATTTTGATTGAGATCTCTGGCATTTATAGCCAAGGAACCAGATTCACGTGGGCGGGAATCCACTGCAAAAAGCATTTTTTCTGGAGACGTTGAAGTTGTCCAAGTTGTTCTATGATATTCAAAATTAGGCTTGAGGTACCTTTGCTGAGGGCCTGTAAGGCAGACCTGCAGTCGCTGAAGATGATGATACCACTAAGCTGCTCCGAAGGTTCAAGATTGATGTACGCTTCGATTGCCGTGGAAATGGCTATGCATGAAAATTGATTTTGCCATTTGGAAACACTTGAATGGGAAGTCTTAACCCACTCGCTGTATTCGCCAGACCTTGCCCCTTTAGATTATCACCTATTCTGGGCGATGGCACATGGTCTGTCTAAGCGGAAATTTACATCATTTGAAGAAATCAAGGAATGGATCGATTCGGGGATATCCTCGAAATATGAAGAGTTCTTCCGACGTGGTATCTGGATGTTCCCAGAAGGATGGGAAAAGGTAGTGCCTAGTAATGGATGATTTTTTGAATAAAAGATAATGTACCGCTTTTTCACAATAAACTACTAGTTTTTGATAGAAAACGGC